GGGGTTCTCAAGTCAAGGATACTGAAGTTGTTTGCCATTCTCTTCTCCAGTGGGCCACATTTTGTCATAATGCTCCACTAAGACTCGACTGTCTTGGGTGGCCCTACAAAGCATGGCTCATAGTTTCATTGAGTTTGACAAGGCTGTGGTCCATATGATCAGTTTGGTCAGTTTGCTGTGATTGTAGTTTTAATTCTGTCTGCCCTGAGATGGAGCAGGATAAAAGGTTTATGGAAGCTTCTTGATGGAAGAAACTGACTTTGGGGGAATCTGGGTCTTGTCCTGATGGGTGGCTCTTGCTCAGTAAACCTTTAATCCAATTTTCTGTTGATGGGTGGTGCTGTGTTCCATCCCCATTTTTTACACTGAAGACAAACTATTGTAGGGGTAAAGAAGATAATATCCTCCTTCAAAAGGACTTGTGCAGGTAGTGTTTTATTCAGTGCCCCTGACCATTCAGTAGGGCACTGTTGACCCATGTCTCCACCAAAGACTCCAGGACATTCACAGGAAAATATGGCTCAGTCTCTTGTGGGGACACTGTTCCTTTATCCTGGTTCCTGGTACATACAATGCTTTGTGTGTGCCCTCCAAGAGTCTATTTCCCCAGTCCTTTGGAAGATCTGTAATCAAATCCCACTGGCCTCCAAACTCAAAGGGATTCTCAGTCCCTTTCTCAGATCTCCAGGAAAGGAAATCTGTTATGGGTCCTAGAACTTTCTTAACAGTGCAATTATTTCTTTTGTATATTGTTCTGCAGTTTGTGGGTCATCTGCTCAGTGACTCAATGGGGGCTAATGGAGACCTCCTCCAAGAGGGCTTATGCTACATGTTTTGTGACCCATGTCTGTTGCACCCAAAACCCCTGACCTTTAAGCAGGCCACTGCTGACCCAAGTCTATAAAGAGGTCCTCAAACACTCAGTCAGGACTGGTTCATTCTCTGTGGGGTCTCTGGCTTTTGCTGCACACAAAGTTTGTTTGAGCCCTCAAAGCATCTCTGGTAGATATGGGCTTTGATTCTAAATGCAATTCTGTCCCTCCTACCAACTTGTTGGGGTGTTGCATTTGCCCTTGGATGTGTTATAGTTTTTTTTTTTTTCTCTTTTTGGTGGGATCCAACATTATCTTCTTGATGGCTATTCAGCAGAGTTGTTATTTTGGAGTTCTCACAGGAGAAGATGAGCATAGGTCCTTCTACTCTGCCCTCTGGAGAGAACACTACTGCCTTCAAAACTTTCCTAGGCATGGTCATGATAAAGAATCCAATACACAGCAGAAGATCAAGAAGGCAATTCAGGAAATGGCTTCACTCACACCCCAGATCAAATTCAAGGGAAGTGCTGTGAAGCTCATTGTCCTTGTGGGAACAGACATTTATGGAGAAGCACTGTGGGCAGTGTGGACTAGTAGTCACCATGTGTTGGGTCTGTTGGATGACCTTCAGCCGCAACTTTCCACTCAGTGACCTGATGCCACTGGCGTGCAAGCGATCCATGGGCCAGGTCTTTCCTATGGGAGATCTCTTTCCAGATATCTTCAGGAAAACTAGAGGTACCAAGGGAACATTTCATGCAAAATTGGGCACAGCAAAAAACAGAAAATGTTTGAACCTAAGAGAATAAGAAGATATTATGAAGAGATGGCAAGAATACACAGAAGAACTATACAAAAAACATCTTAATGACCCAGATAACCACAAAGGTGTGATCACTCACCTAGAGACAGACATCCTGGAATGTGAAGTCAAGTGGGCCTTAAAGAGAGCATCACTATGAACAAAGCTAGTGGAGGTGATGGAATTCCAGTTGAGCTCTTTCAAATCCTGAATATGATGCTAAAGTACTGCGCTCAATATGCCAGAATATTTGGAAAATCAGCAGTGGACACAGGGATGCAAAAGCATATTAAAAAGAGACATTATTTGAGGATGAAGGTATAGTAAAAACTATGGTTTCTCCAGTAGTCATGAATGGGTGTGAGCACTAGACCATTGAGAAATCTGAGAATCAAAGAATTGGTGCTTTTAAATTGTGGTGTTGGAGAAGACTCCTTGGAGTTCCATGGACTGCAAGGAGCTCAAACCAGCCAATCCTGAAGGAAATCAGTCCTGAATTTTCATTCTAAGAACTGATATTGAAGCTTAATCTCCAATACTTTGGCCACCTGATTTAAGAACTGCCTCATTGGAAAAGACCCTGATGTTGGGATAGATTGAAGGCAGGAGGAGAACTAGAGGACAGAGGATGAGATGGTTGGATAGCATTACTGATTCAGTGGCCCTGAGTTTACCAGGGAGGGAGTTGCTGATAGACAGGGAAGCCTGGCATGCTGCAGTCCATAGGGTGTCACGGAGTCTAATACGACTGAGGGAGTGAACAGAACTGAAAGTATATGCTGTTGGGTGGGGTGGAGGGGACAACTATGGGAAATTCAACTTCTTTAAATTTTCTTTTTCCACCCAAATACACTGGATCGAACTCACGGGCTCCTGAATGTTCTCTATTTCTTGTTTTGATAGGCCAACACTTTACCACTGAGCTATGAAGGCAGTCCACAAAAACGATGTAACTACTGTTTTTTACTTTTTACTTTGTATGGATTTTAAAATGGCAAGCCACTCCAAATTTATTTCCTGGAGAATTACATGGACAGAGTAACCTGTGCGCTTACAATCCCTGGTAGGAAACGACTGAGCTAGTAACACTAGTAATTGCAGCCACTAGAGGGATCTGTCTTCCCATTTCCTGCGGCATACGTCATGACGTCAGCCATATTCCCTAGGGCGCGTAACAGAGAGTCAGGAAAAGCTTTCGACGACAAGCGTAGAGGTCGCCATTTTGTCTCGGCGTTTGAGGTAAAACCGTGTATCCCCGAAAGGGACAGCAGGGAGAGCAGGGAAAGCTGAGGCTGCAGCAACTATCGTTAGGTAGTCGGCGGGGGAGGAAGAGCAAAAAGAGTGCGGTGTTGAGTTTGGCTCCTGTTCACGTGGAGTTGCCAGCGGAGCCACCTGGAGAATCGGAATTGGTGACAAACGGCTTTTCTCCGCTACCCTCCCTGGCAGCATTATCAGGAAGAGATTTTTAGGAAGCTTTTTTCGGTAGCGTTTTCGGGAAGGGTTTTCAGGAGCTCTTGGGATACAGGAGAAGGGGACAACATAGGGTGAGTTGGTTGGATGGCATCACTGACTCAGTGGACATGGGTTTGGGTGGACTCCGAGAGTTGATGATGGACAACGAGGCCTGGCGTGCAGCGTTTCATGGGGTTACAAAGAGTCGGACACGACTGACCGACTGAACTGTACTGGGATACCCTAAACTGAGCTTAAGGGACGGTGTAGGTGCCGGCACAAGGGCATAACATTTAAGTGCGGGGTGGATGTTACCATTTCTTCCCTTGGGTTCCAAAATCGGACCTTAGGGCTCCAGAGGCCCAGGTCCAACATATCTAGTCAAAAATGTTATTCCCTATTATGTTACAGCACCAGGTTCAGAATTGCTAGTAATGTATTCCTATAAAGACCTTAAATTAAAATTATTACACTCACAGCTTCCAAGAGGAACTAGAGCCCAGGCAAGGTCTGTTTACCCTTCAGTTCCCTCGAAGAGACCTTTCTCTGACATCTTTGCTTAGACACCATTTTACTCCCTCGTTTTCTCCTCCTAGTCACTTTTAAGAGGTATATATATATATAAATGTATGGATGTATGTATATATATATACACACAAGGCCAGTGGCTACTACTGACCCTAACGCCTGCTAAGAGACTGCGGCCACGCTGCTCAGCCTGATTGTAATTGCTTACCATGGAGATCACACTGGGCCCAGTATTTCCAGTTAAAATACATTTTTTGAACATGTCAGTTTAAAGACATTTCATTTCTACACCACCTTTAAGAAATGTTCCTATACCCAAGCTTTCTGCTTAGTTGCCCAGCTCTGCAAACTCGACTTTAGCATTTGCATCAAGAAAGGCCTCTGAACCCAACTCTGTTTTACAGTAACATGCTTTACTCATAAGGCATCATATACTGTTGGAGAATACCCAGTTTTTTCATTGTGTCACAGTTCTTTTCAAATAACTCCAAGTATCAGCCCTCAGAACCCCCTAAGGAATAAGACACCAGGAAGGAATTCTTTGGATATATACTCCTTCAGACATCCTTCCCCACTTCCCTTCATCACTGTGGCAGTGTTTGAAAACACCATGTCAGATTTTGGTCCTAAGATTTCTGTTAGAGGCTCATAGTCCCAGGCTTGCCTGGAGCTCTATCTGTGGATTCAAAAAGTAGCTAATTTTCAGCTTTTTAAAAGATCCTGTTACTCCACATCCTTTCTTATAGTATACCCTAAAGGCTTTGGGAGGCCCCCGGCATCCTTGTTCAGAAGCTGGAAATCTTGACTTTCAGTCTCATTGGCACATATAGCATTATCATATCCCCTCCTCCAGCAGCGTTAGATCAGAAAGTATCCCCTTCTCAGCATCTATTCAGCCTGCGTGAAACCCAGCCAGACTTCATGATATAGCCAGTGGGTGGTCACTGAGTGCTTAGTCTGTTATCTCCCTGAAGCTTTTCTTTTTTCTGTTCTAGGGAATGTCAGCTGTCTGAGTTTGGCCTTCTGTTTCCTTCATCTCAGAGTGGCTTTGGTACCTAGCATATTTTCATTCTTCTTTTCTTAAATGAGATTATTAGTACTAAATCCCTTCTCTCCCTCTGAGTTACCATTAACAAAAAAGTCTGCCTACATCTGGCTCATCTCTGACTTTTTTTCTAAAGATGTCTAGCTTGCCACTGTCAAAGAAACAGTGTATGTCTGGGCCTGATCAAAACCAAGTCCTGATTTCTCCTCCGCTTGTTCTGTAATGTTCGAAGAGCCATCAGGATCAGCCAGCATGAGTTTCTCTAAGATAAATCTTGGAGGTGGGATGGTGTGGTTGGTGGGAAAGTTTAAGCTTTTGCTTTATGTTTTTGAAACTTTTTTCCCTCCATTCCTAGGGAATGCCAAAAAAGGGCAGTGAAACAGACATAGATGAAGGTCTTTACTCTAGACAGTTGTAAGTGTGACTAAACCTGGTTATATGAAGCAGCAGAGGGACACAGAAGATAAGAGGAGGGTTAGCCAAGCCCTAACCAAGCCTTCTTCAAATCTTGCAGATATGTCCTCGGCCATGAGGCTATGAAGCATCTCCAGGCATCCAGTGTGCTGGTATCAGGACTCCGGGGCCTAGGGATGGAGATTGCCAAGAATATCATCCTTGGTGGTGTCAAAGCTGTCACCCTGCATGATGAGGGCACTGCTCAGTGGGCTGACCTCTCGTCCCAGGTATTCTTTCCTGACTCCCTTCCCTTGCCCAGGCACCAAACAGCCCGATCACTGCATTCACATCACTTTTTTCCTTTCTGTACCTTCTTGTAGTTCTACCTGCGAGAGGAGGACATTGGTAAGAACTGTGCTGAGGCATCACGCACCGCCTTGCTGAATTCAACCACTATGTGCCAGTCAGCACCTACACTGGTGCCCTTGTTGAAGACTTTCTTAGTGGTTTCCAGGTATCTTGCAGCATCAACTTGCCTTACCTTCCTCAGATCCATTTTCTGGTTTGTCCAATATATTTTTTAATGGACTGGGCCTGTGGGTGCTGATACCGTGCTTGGGGTTTCCCAGAGAACTTGGGCACTGGAACTCTTGTTATAGTGGTAGGAACTTACCCTTGTGAATAGGGAAGAACATTCGGACAAGGACTCTTTCCAAATCATTGCTGAGCAGGGTTAATTTTGTCCTGTTTTGTTTAGTATTAAAATGGAACCTAACGAAAGTGTATGATTTGGGGTTAAATGCCAACTTTTACAGAGTGTGTAAAAGGGCATACTAGGTTGTAGGCAGGTAGAGGAGTGGGTGTTCATTTTTCAGAGAAGTGAATTAGTTGGTCTTCAGATTCCATCCCGTTAATACCTCTTTACATATCTTGTCATAATGTGGGAATCCATATTTATCTTGTGCTTTCACCCTCACTGAGTATTGTTACAGTCTTTGTAGACCGAGACCTGGGGACTAGAGTTGACCAGAAGAGGGAAGCAGGGGACCCAAGTCTCAAGTGAAACAAGGTTGCTTTATTTGCAGAAATGCACGTTTATATATCTTCATACAAGGCAGCTTTAGGCAGTAAAAAAAATGAGCAAAAACAAAGCCAGGCAAATAGCAATCTTTAAAGGGCCAGAAAGTGTTCCGTATCCTGAATAAGAGGGGCATAACTGAATAGATTACATTTAAGTAAAAGGTCACTGAAGAGAGTCACTGAAAGGATTCCAAGTAGGTGCCTTTTTGTCATGATCTCAGTCTTGAGAACTGCATGCAACTCTGCTCATTCCTGTTTTCCAGGAATTGATAAGAGAATAGAGAGTCCTTGAGATACACCTCTTCTTACACCCAAAAGAAGAGAATAACATATTGGATCCCTTAAAGTTGAACATCCCCCCGATAATTCCTCCTTTTTGATTTGTTCATAATTGGGGGTGACTGTAGATACTTTTGTGAGAAAGGCCCTGACCAATTGAGCTTGTTTAGTTTGAACAATTTTAGTTGAAAGGCATCAGTGTACGGCAAATGTAATCACCAGGACAGTTATCAATGTTATAGTTTCCGATCCGATACTACATGAAGTGTTTCAAAACCATTCTTGGGTGTCCAGCCCAGACAGTTTATCAGTCAGCTGTTCAGCAAAGGTTTCTAAATTGTTGGAAGAGGGTAGACTCTTAGAGAAGGTTTCCAAAATTTTGTTTTGCCACAATTGCACATTTAAGGAAGTGTTATTATGTATATTTTGCAGTTTAAATTTGGTTTGTTCTCAATTGTAAGCATTATGGTTGAGCCGAACAGCAGTGATACAGTCTTGTGTAGGATTCCAACCACAGTTTAATAATATTTGTTTTAGTAATGCTGTTAATTGATCTCCAACCCATTGGATGGCTGTTTCTAATTTCTGAATTTTATTTGAACTTTTTCATCTATCGGAACCTGAGGAACCCATATAGTGTGAGCATCTTTAGTCCAATTTTGAATAAAGTTTTGTGTTTGAATTGAAGTTTGTAAAGCAGTATCTGCAACAATAGCAGTAGCGCAAATGGCTATTATTCTGAAAATGCCAAGAATCAGCCATCCAATTAACTGCTTAGATCATCAGAGTAATTTATTGAGTAACCGGGAGGAAAGTCCTGTCCTAGGACCTTCTTCCCACTGTCATTGGAGATCTGCTGGCAGCCATAGACTTAAGTGGAGATCAAAGAATCAAAAGGGATTTCTTTTTTAGAGAAATAGAGCAGTTAAGACAAGTATACGATTTGTAATCTATACAAGTCATAGAAAGTAAAGCCTTATTAAATTTTAAGTTTCCTGTGGCTGTAACAAAAGGAAGGAAATATGAATGATTATAATGGAAGGAATAGTTACTATGATTACAGCTAGTCTCTGTAAAATATCTAGTGCAAGTTTCAAGTTTTTCAGTACTCACAGCAAGTCTCCAGATGTCCCAATGTTTAGGTCCAGTCTGTATATTGAGGATGATTCGAGGGCATGGAGGTGCCATTCCACTGTCAAGCCAGCCAGGGAGTCCTTTGTCATGGAAGTGTTCCATTGATCTGTTGGTAATCTCCCATGTTACTTGAGTTTTACTTGAGTAGCATAATAACACATAGTACTGTTAATATCATCTGAGCAGTTAGAGAACCACATATCATAGGGTCCACAATCAACAATGGTGTAATTGGCCACAAACATTAATTTCCCTGATTTAGCTTGACATATATCCCAAAAAACAGAAGTGTATTTAAAGTCCTTATAAGTAAACACATTATATTCCAACTTTTTTCCTTCTCCTAGAGTTTTGGTTGTATTGACATGGTTCTCATAAAAGGACAGGGCAGTAAGCAGTCCAAGCAATGTGCGGAAGTTCTTTTTTGGAGGCAGGATAAAAGTCCACGTTTGTTGAACATGAATACATGATACTGCTGGGCCCATGCGTAAAAGGAAGGATTTAATAGCCTAGAGAAATGTTAATCAGTCTGCCTTCTTTCTCAGGATGAGAGGGCCCCTCCAAGTTCCAAGGAAAAGGCATATGTATTGAGTCATTAGTGGATTGATCAGTCCTATGTCTGTCCATTTTGTAACCTGCAATAAAGGAGGGTTAGGTATGGCCCAATAAGTGTGATTAATCAAGTCAGCCTGAGTGGTAGAAGCAAAAGCAAGCAAAGCAAGCATGGCAACAAAAGTACTTTCAGGATACCGAGGAATTCTCTGTTGAGAAACGAGATTTTCAGCTTGATTAGTAAGGATTTTTATCTGTCCCCAAGTAGGGAGATAGAAGGGCAATGAAGTTCAGTGTGGCATTTCTTGGCAATTTTTAAAGCCACGATGGCTTGTACTGGAAACTCTTTCTTCTGGGAATGTTGCTGCTTCTTCTCTGTCTTGATGGCTGGTGGCTCCCCTGGGGCAGATCTTCTGAAGAGGGAACCAACTGATTCTGTAGAATCCAGCTGGAGAAATACAAGCATACCCATTTTCCCTGTAATAGTAATTTCCCAAATATTCATCATTTAGTCAACCCATCTTGATACCAAATAGACAGAGGAAGCGAGGTGTCCTTCAATGACAAAATGTTTTTCTGCTTTTGTCAAAATATCTCCTTGTGGTAAGTTTAAAAAATGTAAAACAAAGCTGTATTAGTAGTTATAGGATTAAAGAATATATTGTGTTGGAATCTAGTGAAGTCTGTTCTGGATAAGGAGGATAAATGTGTTCCTGTGAGTTCCCCCTTTTTTAATTGTTTTATTTATAGTTTCAGTGTTCAACTATGTCTTGTGCTTGTGGATTATAAGGAATACCTATAATATGTTTAATAGAAAATGAGTGTAAAAATTGTTGGAATTGTCTAGAAATATAGGCAGGGCCATTGTTTTTATAGAACTAGATGTTATCTTTATTGCAAAGCAAGTTAACAGGTGGGTTATAACATGTCGTATAGTTTCACCTCGGAGAGGTGTGGCCCATATAAAAGAAGAATTTGTATCAGTTGAGACATGTAAGAAGGCAGAGGGAGAAATTTCAGGTCAATGAGTTATATCTATTTGCCATAGTTCATTGGGTTGTAATCTTTGAGGTTTGATACCTTGTGTAATGGGTTGAAGATGTAGGGGCCTATAAGTAGAGCAGTTATTAATGATTTCTTTAGCATGTCGGTATGAGATTTTCCAAATTTGATGTAATCAGCCAGCATTATTGTGTAATAGAGCACGTTGGCCACATAATATTGACATATAATGGGAGACTTCATCATTTTTTGAGGCAGTACAGTCTGTTGATACCATTTGTGAGGCCCGCTATGATTTGGATAAGGGAGAGAGAAAGCAAACCTCTCTAGGTCTAGAGCGTGTAAAGGTATATAATATTCTAGAAGGGACTGTTTGAGAAAAAAGAATAGAATCATTTATGACTGGTATATTCATGGCAGCATTGTTGGAGGCTGCTGTGAATGGGAAAAGATGGAGTTTGTCCCTGATTTTGTTGATGGGGATGTGGTGAGTCCCCATCTTTGAGTTTCCTGAAATAAGATTTCTCCCAACATCATATTTAGATTGATATTTTTTAGCCCAGTGTAAGAGTTGGACTGTGAAGAAAGCTGAGCACCGAAAAATTGATGCTTTTGAACTATGGTGTTGGAGAAGACCCTTGATAGTCCCTTGGACTTCAAGGAGATCCAATCAGTCCATCCTAAAGGAGATAAGTCCTGGGTGTTCATTGGAAGGACTGATGCTGAAGCTGAAACTCCAGTACTTTGGCCACCTCATGTGAAGAGTTGAATCACTGGAAAAGACCCTGATGCTGGGAGGGATTGGGGGCAGGAGGAGAAGGGGATGATGGAGCAGGAGATGGCTGGATGGTATCACTGACTCAGTGGGCATGAGTTTGAGTAAATTGTGGGAGTTTGTCATGTACAGGGAGGCCTGGCGTGCTGCTGTTCATGGGGGTGCAAAGAGTTGGACATGACTGAGCGACTGAACTGAACTGAACTGATCCTCTTATGACAGTGAGGGCAGACTTTTGGAGGCTTTTGAATAGTTTCAATTTGTATGCGCGCACGCGCGCGCGTGTGTGTGTGTGTGTGTGTGTGTGTGTGTTTGGGCAATTATTTTAATGGCTCTTACCTCCATAAACAAAACATCTTTCATTTTCCTTTTTAAAGGTAGCAGCCATTGTTTTAGCTAACATTTGCATTTTCTGAGTTTTTAATCTTAAGTTGTGACAAGCCTTCAAATAATAACATTCTTGGTTTCATGAATTGGAGCAATGGCTCTTTGATATTTCTGATTCGCATTCTTATTTATAAGCAGTTTTTCTCACTGTATTTTGACTTCTTCTGTGAGAACATTATGGGCAATAGCAACTCCCAGTCTAGCTAAAAAATCAGCATAGGCTTCATTAGGTCCTTGTAATATCTTTGTGTAGCTACCTTTAGGTTCCCCTTGAGGAGTAACTTGATTCCAAGTGTCAAGGGCAAGTTCTTTCAATTTTTCATGCAATAAACAGATACAGGGCATTGTATCTGAACTTGCACTGAATCAAATTGCCCTGTACTGGTTAACATTTCAAAAGTAATTTGGTTTTGGGGAGTGCCAGTTCGAGCATTAGAATCGGCATGATCTTGGGCCACATTGTGAAAATGTATTACCTACTGAAGATATTTTCTTGGTTTAAGAAGAACTTATATCAAAATTTGCCAACCATAAGGAATAAAATTTTCAATAGAAGATGCCATATAGTTTAGTAAAAAGTGAATAAGGGCCATACATAGTTGCAACCTTTTTAATTTTTTGCATGTGAGAAAAACCAGTGCCTTCATATTGAGCTATTAGTTGTCCTTGAGCATTAATATTTCTTTACACAGGAAAGGCAAGAAGATCATTGGCCTTAGAGACTTGAGATTAGAAAGCCAGTAAACCAGAAAGCCTTTGTGTTGAAAGAGAACGAGTGGATCATCTGTATTCTTAAATATTTGTGTTACGGGCTTATTATTGTCATCAAATGTATTTTTGGCTTTAGTGTCAAAGAGAGCAGCAGAAGAATCACCATCAGATTCATTTTGTCTTTTAATTGAGGGGAACTTAGTTTTCGTGCCTGTTACTAGAGCAGGAGGAGTGCTTGGGGCAGTCGGAGCAGGGATGGTGGGAAAGTTTTGAAACATTTTATGTTGCTCTAACTGGGCCTTTTGTAAAGTCTTATCATCTAATTTATATTCATATAATGAGAGTTAGGCTTGTTGATGATATTCGGGGGGCTAGAATTGCCTTGAAATGGCAAGATTATGGCTTTGATGAAGGCCCCCAAGGGCCAGAAATCTATTGGAATATTTTCTCTCTGTCTTGTGGTTTGTTTAATTTTTTTTTTTTTAACCCAGCTTTTTAAATTGGAACTGCTTTCATCAAGGAACCAGGGATTATATTCAACCACTGTTTGTAGACAAGCCTCTATCTGCTGATGTGAAACCGAAAGTCCTGAACCTTAAATAAATGATGAAGTAAAGTAGAAAAGTGGTGGGGGCATTCCAGCCATTTGTCACATAACTGAATCTCCGTAGGTCCTAACAGTCACTCCATCTGCTTGTCAAGGGCATTCACCAGGTCCGTGTTGGGGCGCCACTTGTCACAGTCTTTGTAGACTGGGACCTGGGGACTGGAGTCAACCAGAATTAGGACGCAGGGGACCCAGGTCTCGAGTGAAACAAGGGTGCTTTATTTGCAGAAATGCACATTTATATATCTTCATACAAGGCAACTTGTAAGGTAGTAAAAAATTTGAGCAAAAACAAAGCCAAGCACATAACAGTCTTCAAAGGGCCAGAAAGTATTCCATATCTTGAGTAAGAGGGCTGTAACTGAATAATTACCTTTAAGTAAAATGTCACTGAAGGGAGTCACTGAAAGGAGTCCAAGAAGGTGCTCTTTCTCATGATCTCAGTCCTCAGAACTGTGTGCACCTCTGCTCGTCGCTGTTTTCCAGGAACTGATAAGGAATAGAGAGTCCTTGTGAAATGGCACACAAGAGAATAACATATTGGATCCCTGAAAGTTGAACGTCCCCTGACAGAGTATGAAACATGTACTTTATATTTGTAGAAAAGGTCAACCCGTAAGCTGGAGCCCTGACCTTCTGCTAGTTCCTGACTTGCCTTTCTCCTTTTTTTTCCTTACTCCCCTTCACCTCAGTGCCAGTCCTTTTTGCAGTGAGCTGCTTTCTTGTTACAGGTGGTGGTCCTTACCAGCTCTCCTTTGGAGGACCAGCTGAAGGTGGGTGAGTTCTGTCACAGGCATGGAATCAAGCTGGTGGTAGCAGACACTCGAGGTCTACTTGGGTGAGTTCCACCTTCTCTGTTTATCCCTAACTCCTTCCTAGGCCAGGCCAAAACCTCCCTGGCTCTCAGTGCCCTAATGATTTTCTTAGGAAAACCATGTATACAAGTCTGCATGTCCACCTCTGCCCATACTGTGTAAGCACTGTCATGTTACCAGCATGATGCCTCAGTACCCGAGTTCCAGGTCTCGGTCCTGTTTTCTCCTTTTATAGGCAATTGTTCTGTGACTTTGGAGAGGAAATGATCCTCACAGATTCCAATGGGGAACAGCCTCTTACTGCTATGGTTTCTATGGTTACCAAGGTATGGAGTCTGGCCCAAAGCAGGCAGGTTTGTAGCCTTAGTCCTTGTCTATGCTCCGGTACCCTGATTCTACATGTGAGACTTTCTTTAACTTCTCTCCCAACCAGGGCAACCCTGGTATTGTCACTTGCCTGGATGAATCCCAACACGGATTTGAGAGTGGTGACTTTGTCTCCTTTACAGAAGTTCAGGGCATGAATGAACTCAATGGCATCTGTCCACTAGAGATCAAAGTCCTGGGTATGTTAAGCTGGGGGTCAGGAAATGATTACCTAGAACAAAGGGAGAATTGTCCCTGTGGTCATATGTATGTATACTGAATTGCACCACAGACCAAGAGGCTATAACTCTCTAATCTCTCACATGGGATTTACAAGACATGTGTCCATGTAGCCTTAGTTGAGAACTGTGAACTGAACCCAGAAGCAGAAAGATGAATACCGCTAATATTTGATTCCATTTGGCTCATTGGTTGCACCTCTCTTTTATTTTTTCTTTAACTTTTAGACTGTGTAAATGTAAATTCTGCATTTGCTTTTCCAAGTAATACTTTTCACTGCACACACACACCAAAATAATTGAATTCCATGTGCGTCATAATTCTCTTCAAGCATTGAAAAGCTAGAAGAGCTTTTTTATTTTATAATTGCCAAATTAAAATTATTTGTTGGGGTTTGACAGGTCCATGTTCTCTCCATTTAGATGTGCATCCAGTACCATTTTGCTTCCACTCAAGCTCTATCACATGTTGTATTTTAGTGGCGACTCTTCTTGCTTTTTGATGTTTGAAATTGTCTTTATTTCAGAATGCCTGATTTTGAACAAAAAAGTTTTTGCAGAGTGTAGCATTCTAGATATCATTGCTTAAAGATACTGTTCTTTAAGCAATGGTACTGTTCTTTCTTGCCTGTTTTCCCCACAAAGTCTCCTGTTCTTACCCTTGTTCCTTTGCATTTAACGTTCTTATATTTTCTATCACTGATCTTAAGAAATGGATTGATGATTATATACCTTAGTATATCTTGCAATTATGATAGCAGACCTTTGTGTAATTTTCTCGGTGCTTCCTTTCAAATTTATATTACCTTTGAGACCAAAGCTTTATCAGATTTGGAATATTTCTGCACCCTCCCACACCCACCACCTTCTTTCGTCTCAGTACTACTTTCTCAGCCCACTCCCCACTCCATCATCTCTTTCTAGATCTCCAGTTACATGCATTTTAAGCCACTTTACTCTTTGGTTGTCTCCATGCTCTTTGTGGTACCATGGATAATTTCTTCTACTTTATTAAATCTACTACTTTTTTCTTGTGTGTTAATTTGTTAAACATACCAAGTATATAAAATCAGTGCACACATGCATGCTAAGTCACCAAAGTTGTGTCCAAGTGTTTGCGACCCTATACACCGTAGTCTGCCAGGCTCCTCTGTCCCTGGGATTCTGCAGGCAAGAAAACTGGAGTGGAATACCATTTCCTCCTCTAGGGGATCTTCCCACTGAGGGCTCAAACCCAGGTCTCTTTTAACGTCTCCTGCATTGGCAGGCAAGTTCTTTACAACTAGCACCACCTGTCACGTTATAAATATATTTCATGTGTCAACAGAGTTCTCCATAATCATGAATATAGATAGTACAGAGTGATTTGGAAGATATACAAAAGACATATGGCTGCTTCAAGTGAAAAAATACATGGAATCTAATAAATCCCAACAAAGGTGTGAGGCAGAAAAGTTTTTAAAGAAATAATATTTCAGAGTTTACAGATTTGATGAAAATTAAAGCCAGAGACTCATGATCTGGAAATTTTTGATGGATGGAAGATAATTGTGGATTTTAGAGTTTCAAGCTGTGTTTTTGTGTTCCTTTCATAATTATTGAGCTTATCTCATTGATGTTGGATCCTTTAAGAGCTTGCTGCTTTTTGCTCCGGAGTGACATATTAGACATAGAGTACCTGTGCTATTGAAGAAATCAGCATTGTGGGGTTTTTTGTTTGTCTTAAATGAAAGTATTTTTAATTGAAGTGCAGTTGACTTAGAATCTTGCGTTAGTTTCTACTTTAGAGTAATGTGGTTTAGTTGTATATACATTGTTTTATGTATTCTTTTCCATTATAGTTAATCACAGGGTATTGGATATGGTTCTGTGTGCTATACAGCAGGACCTTGTTGTTATCCATCTGGTGTGTAATAGTTTGCATCTGCTAATCCCATACTTTGAATCCAAGGGAGAGGTGGGTGGTGGAGAGGGAGAGTTGGGTGGTTCTTCCATTCTCGTTTTGGTAGTTCTGTTGATCTTGGGAGGGTGTGAATTGACAGATAAATCTTAATGCTTTTTATCCTCTAGGTCCCTACACCTTTTGTATCTGTGATACCTCAAATTTCTCTGATTATATCCATGGAGGCATTGTCAGTCAGGTCAAAATAGCTAAGAAGATCAGCTTTGTAAGTATGTGCAGGAGGGTGTACTGTAAGGTTCCAGGTGTTTCTCACTTCATTTTGTTTTGCTTTGCTAGTTCTGATGTGGTCTTCTCTGTTCTCCACCAGAAATCCTTGCTCAACTCACTGGCAGAGTCAGACTTTGTGATAACAGATTTTGCCAAGTATTCTCGCTCTGCTCAACTGCACATTGGTTTCCAGGCCTTGCACCAGTTCTGTGCTCAGCATGGCAGGTCCCCTCAGCCCCACAGTGAGGTAGGTGGGTGGGCCAGCCAGCCCGGGTCCTTGCACCAAAGTTCTACCATTACTACTTGTCTTTACTTTTTCTGCCTCTCCCTCTCCCCACAGTGGCATGACTGAGTCTTTGTTTCTTGTGTCCTACTAGAAGGATGCAGCAGAACTGGTGACCCTAGCAGAGGCTGTGAAGCCTCAAGCCCCGCCAGCAGTGCAGCAAGACAATTTGGATGAAGACCTCATCAGGAAGCTGGCTTACATGGCTGCTGGGGATCTAGCACCCATGAATGCCTTCATTGGGGGCTTGGCTGCTCAGGAGGTTATGAAGGTGGGTGTGGGCAGAAGGATAGTGGTGGAGTGGGCTCGGTGTTTTTCTGACTCTGCTACTTGCCGTCAGGCTCTGATTAACCGGGGATCACTTCCCCTTTCTTACCTCCTCCTCAGGCCTGCTCTGGAAAGTTTATCCCTGTTATGCAGTGGCTGTACTTCGATGCCCTTGAGTGTCTCCCTGAGGGCCAGGAGGCTCTTTCAGAGGACAGATGCCTTCCAGTATGTGACGGGGGCCCACATAGAAGGTATTACATTGGTCCTCTCTGGTGTACAATTTCTCTAATCCTCTCCTCCCTTCACCTGACGCAGTGCCAGAACTGTTACGATGGGCATGTGGCTGTATTTGGCTCCGGCCTGCAAGAGAAACTGGGCAAGCAGAGATACTTCTTGATGAGAACTCCTGTTGGGAACAAGCTCCTTTTATTTATCCTAGCTCTGGCCACCTCTTCTGGAGTCTTTGCCTTAGAAGGGAGGGTGTTTGATTGTACCCTCATCTCTTTTGTTTAGCATTTTGTTTTCATGCCAGTTCCTTGGTTCCTGGTCTTCTGCCTCTTTCCTGATGACCTTGCGTTTTTATGCTCCTGGGATTTAAATATTCAATACTAGAGTCTCTTGCCCAGCCCTGTCTTACAGTCTCCAGGAGGAATAGGACTGAGGGGTGGCTTTGTTATCTGAGTGCTGCTAACCATTACCTCTCTCTCTTCTTGACTGCCTCCCAGGTGGGTGCAGGGGCCATTGGCTGTGAACTGATCAAAAACTTTGCCATGATTGGGCTAGGTTGTGGGGATGGTGGGTCAATCACGGTAACAGACATGGACATCATCGAGAAGTCAAATCTGAACCGACAGTTTCTGTTCCGTCCTTGGGATGTCACGGTGAGTGAGATGGACAGGGTTAAGTTGTTGGGTTTTTCTCCTTTTCTTTGTTATCCGTCATGCTAACTTAGGTCTCTTTTGTTTACCCCTTTCCTTCAGTTCCTCCCTTATTTTTTCTCTATGGTTCAGTCTTTGAGCAGATATTCACTGAGTACTTGTGTCTTGCATTTGTCATTTCGCATCTCTCCCTACTCTTTTTCCTTTGATTTTTAGTTACGGCTTATGTGAGACTACAGAAGCTAGGATATAGAGGAAAGTTTTATGTAAAAGTCAGGGTTATTTTTTGCCTGCTTAGTGTCTGCCTTTCATTTTATCATGCAGATACTAGGCACTGCTTTGACAGTTGAGATATATAAGAACATAGAGAAGTTTCTGCTCTTCTCTGATGCAGTGACATAACATTGAGAGTTTCTCAAAGTTCAGTGGAGGTAGATAGCACTCTTTCCTCAAGTCCATAGATGTTTCAAGACTTACTAGGACACTATTTTGCTTTTGTTTTCATTTCACCAGCTGAATGGTGAATCTCCCTCTCTACTTTGAACAGCTGTCTGACAAGGACACAGGATTTTCCAAATGACTCGATCAGTGTATGATGGTACAGAATTGTGCATTAAGGAAATTCACTTTCAATTCTAAATGAATTGAAAACCAGTGAATGTTGATATGGATTCCACATTTCACCTTGCAATTACATTTGTAAACACCTGTCAAGTTTTCTGTATTTTTAAAATATCACCTAAAAACTGTTACTGAAACATTTTTTGTAAGGCTGAATATCCCTTAGGTTCTTTTAAACAAAATATATAATGCATTGACTGCAGTAGTTGTGAAAATTCTTCTGTCTTCTAAAATAGCTTAAGAGAAATGTGCAAAATTGTAATTACACTTGAAACCTGTCTTAATATTAAAGTCTTCATGTTGTGATGTTTTTCTCAATGATTGTGTTATGTAATGGAATTATCCTAGTCTTAAACAGACTAATATTATTTAAACCTTTCTCTGTTTAAATGTCTAATGTAGGAAATATTGATGGCTTTGCATCACATTAAAAAAAAATCCTTTTTAAGACCTCTCCTTTTACAAATGCTAGAGTGGATAAATACCAATAGCAAAATGTATAGTTTGAACATGGGGTGAAAAATAATGTTTTAGGGTAAGAATCATTATCAAGATAAAGAACAAAGTGTCATGAGAGGGTAGTTTGCAATGTGGTAAAAAAGGTCTCATTGGAAAGGTGACATTTCCACAGAGAATTAAAAATGAGAGAGGTGGAATGGCAGAAATCTCAGCAAAGAATATACTATGTAAAGGTAGCAGCATGAGGAAAATCTCAAGGTTGAAATATTTTTTCTGTGGTTAAGAGATAGAGACAGTGGAAGATCATAGGAATAGAGAAACTTGTAAAAGTAAAAGGGGCCACTTCATCTTATCCTTAGTTGAAATTGGGAACTGATAGAGGGTTTTGAACAGAAGAGGAGCTTGAGCTAAGTTTCAGAGGATCCTGGTTTTGTAAACCAGACGATCTTGGTTTTCTTTCAGTGAACGCACCGCACGTGCATTCTGGGTGCTGGTAACTAAAACTAACAATACATGTTGGGTAGATAGAAGAAACAGGTGCTCGACCCATTGTCTCCTACTGGGTCACTGTTTTCTTTTTAAGCTCTGTTCCCCGTTTGTTTCAGCCTCAGCTGCATGGCATTTGTCATATGCCACAGAGCCCCTGAAGTCACAGCGTTGGTCTTGTGCATCATTACTTAATCAGTTTCCAGGATAGGTCTGCACAGGTGAGTTGGGTGATTATATGAATGACAGTTCGGTTTCCTCTGCCGCTACCCAGAAGTCGAAGTCTGATACAGCTGCTGCAGCTATGAGCCAAATAAATCCACACATCCGGGTCATAAGCCATCAGAACCGTGTGGGTCCTGAGACAGAGCATGTGTATGATGACGACTTCTTTCAAAACGTGGATGGTGTGGCCAATGCCCTGGACAATGTGGATGCCCGTAAGTGTTGTGGATGGCTGAGAACCAGGACAGAGCCATGTTTGTTTTTTTGGGGGGGAGTGTCATCTGTACTGATGTTTACTTCCCCTTCATCTGTTGACTCTTTGCCGCAGGCATGTACATGGACCGCCGTTGTGTTTACTACCATAAGCCACTTCTGGAGTCAGGAACACTGGGAACCAAGGGTAATGTACAAGTGGTTATCCCCTTCCTGACAGAGTCATACAGCTCCAGCCAGGACCCTCCTGAGAAGTCCATCCCCATCTGCACGCTGAAGAACTTCCCGAATGCCATCGAGCACAGGTTGCAGGTGATCAGCTGTGGGGATAGAAAGAGCATCTAGACAATGCCAAGCTCTTTTGATTCCAGTCATGCAAGCCTCAGTGTATATAAGATGTGCCCTCCCTTCAAATCTCCTTCATTCATTTTAGACCTACTACCCTAACCTTTTTGAATGCTTTTTCTTAACTTGGGCATTTTATATTGGAAACATACAGGGAAGTTTTATGTATACTATGCAAGACATTTTACATAAGAAGTGTGTATCTAAGATGTGAACATGTCTGTCTTTCTATAGAGGATACTGTTTTGTTGCTAAACAAAATCAACTTCTTAATATCAGCTCTGCTCGTTATTAAAACCCCTCTCTACTGAGTACATATTTATGACTAACATTTTGATATTTGTCCAGAATACATTTAGCAGTTTGTTTGTCAGAGTAATTGTTTCTATAGTGTGTGTGTGTATATATATGAGCATATCTATCATCTAGATTGAAAATGTAAAAGCCTCCCGTTTGCTGCCACTCAGAACATGTCCTGAATCCCATCTCCTTTTTGGTCCCAAAATAACCATCATTTTATCAAAATAATTCTAATGCAGTTTTTGAGTATGTTTAGGAAGTATGGGAGTAGTAAGAAAATGAGAAGAAACAGTTGAATCTGTCAGTTTTCCTTGCAGGGTGTTTTTACTTAGGGACTCAGTACACAGTGTGTCTCTCTGCCTGTCCATGCCTCTCATGTTTGTGTGTGTATGTATATATTTATAGTCAGAGACAGAGGGAGAGGTAGTACGATGTGTTGGAGTGTGTGTCTGTGTCTTTCAGTATGTAAAACCTTTGCAAGATTATGGTTCTGTTACTTTGTTTCTTACTACTAACACACAGAGAGGCCAGTAAAAGGGCTTTTGAAATGAAGAGTGGGTTTCATACTTGGACTTAAGCTCTTCATGCTTCAGATCCCTTATCTGTAAAATGGAAATGAAAGTAGTAACTCTCACAGGACTTTTGTAAAGAAGTTACATTTGGTATGTCCTTGTGACATTCAAAATAAGTTGAAAATATATACTTGTGTGCTTACTATATGATATTAACTCCTTGAGGTGTAGATACTAGTGATACAGAATTTTGAAATGAGGATATAAAAGTCAAGATGTACCTGAAGGTCACACAAGTGTGGCAGAGCTGGCATGTGAATCTGGATCTCCACCAACAGGATGGTTTACATCACTTTGCCTGGGACTGTAGTGTCTCTTTAATTCTCAGGGAAAAGTGCTATTATTATTTTCTGCAGAGTTCATGCAAGATCATTCATGTTTTATTTTTGGTGTGAACTTTTCTTTTTTTTAATAATTGAGGCATGACATACCTAGGGTAACGTGTTCAGCCTCAGAATAAGTTTACCACAAAATACGCCTGTGTAGTAATCTGCCCAGATTAACATCATTGATTTTTAAATGGAATGGTGGGTGTTTAAAAGTTTGAGGAGTCCTATTGCGGTGGGTTCATTCCTCTATTTTCCCATAGCAGCCGTGGTTTTCCTGTTTACTGTATTTGCCTGATGATCTCTCTAATGCCTGCAGAAACATAACTTTGTTTCTCGTATCTCATTTGTTTCCTGTATCTCAATGTACTGTTTTCTGCTCTGTCTGCAGTGGGCTCGGGATGAGTTTGAAGGCCTTTTCAAGCAGCCAGCAGAAAATGTCAACAAATACCTTACGTGAGTACTTTGGTGCAAGTGCCTGCTCACCCTGTCTCTGGCCTGTCAGTCAAAGCATTCTGTAACCATTTAACAGATAGGACCTACTGTACTTTTTTTTTTTTTTTGGTGGAGGGAGGGCCAGGGACACACCAGGTATCACACAGTGGTGTGTGGACACACAGAGATTGTATCCATACCCCCTGTGGTGGAAACACAGGGGATTCCCTGGTCTACTTTCTGAATAAATTAATGGTTGCTTGGGCCTTATACCTTTGGAAGTCAGGATTGACTTTCCACAGATATAAGCTTACTCGTGGAATCACTGTGTAATTCTGCATTGGTTTCCCTTCTGATTCTTGATAGAGACGCCAAGTTTGTGGAACGAACGCTGTGCCTGGCAGGCACCCAGCCTCTGCAGGTGCTGGAGGGCGTGCAGCGCAGCTTAAGGCTGCAGTGGCCACAATCATGGGCTGACTGTGTGACCTGGGCGTACTATCACTGGCATACCCAGTACTCCAACAACATCAGACAGCTGCTGCACAACTTTCCTCCTAACCAGGTAGTAACACAGGGACCATTTGTCAGAATGGTTTTACTGGGAACAGCCTGCCCCAGCGTTTTTTAATATTTTTTAATGTATTTTTAAATGGAGGGTTGTTGCTTTACACTATTGTGTTGGCTTCTGCCATGTTTTTGACGTGATTCATTCCCGTTAATCTGGTTGTGGCAAGCTCAGCAAGGCTTTGAGAGCTCTTAAGATGAATAAGCAAATGATTTTTGAGGTCAAAGACTTGCTACCGTTCTCCTCTTATGCCCAGTCACTCTTTCTTCTAACCGTCAGATACTTGGTATCCATTTCCTTTAGACATAGGATGTGTCATTCCAGATTCCCAGTCAAGATTGTCACAACTGTAGAAGAAAAAATTCAGAGTTAATGGCATAGACTCTAGCTGTGTTCTCTTGGCACAAGTTATGCAGTTCCTCTCTGCACCTCAGTATACTCATCATGGAATTAGGAAGAGTGATGACCTAATTTCATGAGAGTTTTGTGAAGGTTAATTGCTCTTTGTTAAGTTAGTAAATTAATTTGTTAGTACAGTGCCTGTTGGGCTTCCCTGGTGTCTGAAGTGGCAAAGAATCTGCCTCAAGTGCAGGAGACCTGGGTTTGATCCCTGGGTCAGGAAGATCCCCTGGTGAAGGGAATGGCTACTCAGGCCAGTATTCTTGTCTGGAGACGCCCATGGACAGAGGAGCCTGGCGTGCTGCAGTCCGTGGGGTCCCAAAGAGTTGGACATGACTTAGCATCTGAACAACAAGAGCACAGTGGCTGGCAGTCTGTAAAAGTTTCATAAATATCTCTCTATCTGACAGAAAGTGAGTGTCAAAGGATAGTGAGTTGGGCCTTCTGGGACTGAAAATGAGGAGCTGTGGTTAATCAGAGAGACTTCTTGTGGCAGGTTCTGCTCCCCTAAATCTTTCTGTCTTCTAGCTTACAGGTTCAGGAGCCCTTTTCTGGTCTGGGCCTAAACATTGCCCACACCCGCTTATCTTTGATGTCAACAATGTAAGTCTACTCTCCTGGGTCTCCTGCAGTTGGGTGGAAAGTCACTGAACAGGTGATAAGGAGGCTGAGCCTCCATAGGGGAGTACAGATGTTCTTTCCCTTCCTTACCTTGCCTTCTCTTAGCCCCTGCATCTGGCCTACGTGATAGCTGCTGCCAACCTGTTTGCCCAGACCTATGGGATGATGGGCTCTCAGGACCAGAGTGCTGTCACCAAACTCATTCAGTCTATGCAGGTCCCTGAGTTCACCCTGAAGTCTGGCGTCAGGATCCAAGTTTCTGACCAGGAGCTGCAAACCAGTTCCTCTGTTGGTGAGATACTTTAGCTGGGCTGGAGCCACCCCGCTACTGTAGCCCATGTCCATGCAAGCCTCCTGCGCACGCATATTTTGCCCCTGGCTCTGCTCTGAGATCTCCTGTCTGAGACTGATCCACTGCCTTCTTTCCTTCTTCAGTTTCCAGTGGGTTTGTTGGAGACAGATTCTCTCTCGCACTACTTCTTTCTTCTCCCTCTCTGAGTGGACCATGTCTTTTTTGTGTGTTTTTTTTACTTTGTTTTCTTCTATTTTCCGTACTACTTTTTTGTGTGCTTCTGCAGTATAAATGGATACGATTTCCACCAGTAGTCTCTCTGCCTGATTTCTTCCCGGGTTCATCTTGACAGATCTCCCTACTTCTCTCTGATATGTATCTTTAACCTTTTACTAATCTGTGTGTATATCTTTCTTCATCTCTCTCTCAATATATTCCTCATCTCTCCAACTGTAACTGTCCCCCAACTCAAAGTTCCATGTCTCCCCTACCCACCTCGTGTTCTAGAAGTCCTTGTCTACATTTTATCTTGTTTGTATCCCTCCGTTTCTTCCTTTGTGTATCTGTCGTCTCCTCTTATATCTTTTGCATTTTGTGTCTGAAATAGCTACTCTCTCACATTCCTGTTTGTATATTTCTATTTATGCATTTCCCTATCTGTCTCCCCTTTAGGTACTTTCTACTGTCTTATTTCCTGTACATTTTTTTTTAAACTGCACTGTTTATGCCCCTCCTTCCTTCTCAGATATGTCCTGTTTATCCCATTTCACTACTCTCTTCTTTTGTATCGGTGCATTTCCCCACAATGTTCCTTTTTGTAACTTTTATCCCTTGGTCTCCTGTTTGCTTTTGTGTCTTCCTTCTTATCTCCCCTTGTCTGTGTTGTTCTTCTTTAAGATGTCTTATTTTATGTTCTCATTGACATCCTGCATTTGTTTGTTTAATATTTTGTTAAAAAACACAAGAGATTTACCGTCTTAATCATGTTTAAAAATATGCTTAAGTAGTATTAAATACAGTTACATTGTACAGGAAATTTGTGGAACTTAACTTGCAAATCTTAAACTCTATACCCATCAAACAGTAACACCCCAGTCCCCTTCCCCTCTGCCTCTGGCAAACAATAATGTATCTTCCGTCTCTATGATTTTGATTTTTAGGTACCTTATGCAATACTTGCCTTTCTACCTCTGGCTAAGCATGTAGTTCTGAGGCCATTTGTGCTGTTAAACTGCCAGGATTTCAAACGTTCCTCTTTAAGGAGACTTAGTGTTGCACTGAATTGATAGACCACGTTTTTGTATCCACTCATTCATCAGTCAGCAACCTGGGTTGCATCCATCTTTATTGAAAATAGTTTTGCTGTCTAAACCTTTCTTAGTGTCTCAGTCGTTTTCCCTCAGTGTCTCTAGTTATACCCTTTTTCACGTCCCACACACCTGTCTACTTCTTTTTCTCTCTGAGGTGTTTCTGCCTTGTCTTTCCTGCTTCATTTTATTCTCTCACGTGATGTCTTTCCTTTTTAAATCCTTTATCTGCGTGAAATTCTCTGCCTTACTTTGGACTCCTGGTTTCACCTCAGGCCCTGGCCTGGAATCGAATGTGTATCTGAGGACTGACATGTACTACCTCCTCTCGGCAGATGATAACCGCCTACAGGAGCTCAAGGCCATGCTGCCCACCCCAGAGAGCCTTTCTGGGTTCAAGATGTACCCCATCAACTTTGAGAAGGTGCTTGGGAGAGGGGTGCCCTCAGCAGGATAGAAGGATGGGCTGAGCCATCTTTAGCTTTTGTGGGGTTTACACGTCTACCATATAGCCCTTTTTTTTTTTTTTTGGTGGTCTGGGAGATCTTTGGCCGCACTGGCAGGTAATGGGGGAAGATAGATGTTGGTCCGTAGTACTATCTAGAAAACGTTTTGTTCCTGATCTGCTTCCTCTATTCTTCCTCTGTCTCTACTCAACAAAAGGATGACACCAACTTCCACATGGATTTCATTGTGGCTGCATCCAATCTCCGGGCAGAGAACTATAACATTCCCCTCGCAGACCGGCATAAGGTAACAAAAATTTGGATCTAAACTTGAACCCTTTCTAAATTTGCATCTGCCACATACGACCTTTTCAGTGGGCTGTCAGCTTCTCTTAACAATCACCTCTGCTCCACATTCTGTGTCATAGAGCAAGCTGATTGCAGGGAAGATCATCCCAGCCATTGCTACAACCACAGCAGCTGTAGTTGGCCTTGTTTGTCTGGAGCTGTACAAAGTGGTACAGGGACACCAACAGCTTGAGTCCTATAAGAATAGCTTCATCAACTTGGCCCTGCCCTTTTTCTGCTTCTCTGGGCCCCTTGCCCCACCCCGTCACCAGGTAAAGTCTTGTATTTATGGAAATCTTCGGTATTATTCTTCAGTGCCTGATACATGTATGTATATGAGTGGGCAGTGTATGTATCTTATCCTTGGAGAACTGGCTCTGGTTTTCATCATTCTGGAGGCTTGCTTTAATTTTGTGCACCCTGTGTTCACTGTTGGAACCTGTGCACTGTGCAAATGAAACTCTCATATTTGTGATTTAAAGAGGAGAGTGTAACCTGGGCTTGTCCCCTGATTTACTCTGCTGTGCTTTCTCCTGCAGTTTTATAACCAAGAGTGGACACTTTGGGATCGCTTTGAGGTCCAGGGGCTGCAGCCTAATGGTAAAGAGATGACCCTCAAGCAGTTCCTTGACCACTTTAAGGTAAGACCCCTTCTTCACTTACTACATGTAGGGTAGTGTTTGTCCAGGTCCCTGGTATTGTCCATCCTAGTGACACCGTTGCCCCTCCTTTCTACTGTCTTCAGTCAGAGCGCAAATTGGAGATCACCATGCTGTCCCAAGGTGTATCCATGCTCTACTCCTTTTTCATGCCACCCAGCAAGCTGAAGGAACGGATGAATCAATCGTGAGTTGGGCCCACTGGGCAGGGAGAAAGATTCTCGTCCTGTGTCAGCTAGGAAGCATCAGCTATCTATGCAACTCATGTTTACTGTTTTCCTCAGTTATTTTCCCCTTTATGTCCTTTCCTCTTTTTCCACTTACCTGACCCTGTTATTCCTCATACTAGGATGACAGAAATTGTCAGTCGAGTATCAAAGCGAAAGCTGGGACACCACGTGCAAGCATTGGTGCTTGAGCTGCGCTGCAATGATGAGGATGGCGAAGATGTGGAGGTTGCTTATGTACGATACACCATTCACTAATTCCTTTATGTTCCTCTTCCATGTTTTCAGTCAGCTCAACTTTCTGGCATAAGCTGAGCCTTATGTCCTTTTGAGAACTTCTTGTTGCTGCTTGCTATGTGTAGTGTTGCGATTCTTAATAAAGAGGAGTTCATCCAAGCGTGTCCTATCCTACCTTTGGCAGAGGCCCAAACCTAGTTGTCTTTGGAAGGAGTAGCTTCACATATTAATCCAGAAAGCTCTGCACTGCACCAGTGTGGAATTCTCCCAAATTCAAGGTTATCAGATAAGATTACATCCAGTTGTTCTGCCAGATGCTTGCCTTGGTCCATTTTCCTCCTGTCCTCTGCTTACAGAGAAACAGAGACATTTCTAGGTTGGATGTAGAGCATATCTAGTCTTACCCGTTAACATTAAATCTGGTTGAAGTTCTACTCCCTTCCCTTCCCACAAGTATCTTGCCATAACAGTTTTCAAGGTGGTAGACTCTGGGTCTGGATTATGGGTCTGAATTCTAAATCTTGCCAGGGTGAATATTCTTTGTTTCATCTCTTGAATGATCGGATGAAGAGTTGTTTGTAAGAATAAAAAGATTTTATTAATACCTATAAGTGTTGCAAGTAGTATTGCACATGATACTTTTTTTTTTTTCAGTGAGAATATACAGAGCTTGGTCGTCTTCTAGCTTACTTGCACTCAGGATGGTTTATAACCATGCTTTTTACCTGTGCGGGAGCCTCATCTTAAACTCTGCTCAACTGTTTAATGTCTTTAAGATGTCTTGTACACTTAGTAGGAAATTATTGACCAGACAAGAAATGTCCCTTTGTGCTGTACCCTGCTTCCCTCATCTGTCGGTCTCCCTTTTTTTCCCTTGAATGTCAGCAGACTGGGAAGATGTAAAGGACTTTTTCTCATAGGTCAGCAGTGAGAGTACCAACAGTGGCCACACAAGCACTGTCAAGCACACCAGGCACACTGTCCAGATGGCTGAAGAAACGAGTGTTTTCACCTGCCACCGTGTCCCTTCCTTACCCTCTGGTACCAGCTTGGGTGCTTAAAGGTAACTACTCATACCCTCTGTATGTCACCGAGATATGTAAGACCATTGTTCTTACACACCACTTGGAAATATCCCTTATTCTTCCACTCATATGTGGGTATTGCAAGTAGCTCAGCCAGTCCATAAACCAGGCAGGCCTGTCCAAATCCGGGCTACTGTCTGGGCCATCTGCAGGCCAGACACTGTGTATGTCCTTGACTTCAGGACCACACAGGCCCAGTTAATCTGCTGGGTGAACTCAGTTCTTCCATACGTTCTTTTCGTTCCCAGAAAACCTCGGACACAAGGAACAGAATTTCTTTACCTCTGGTGTCTCACTGAAGGGCAGTGCTAGTTGTCAAGCTTAAAGCAAGAAGTTTCTCCAGGATAGGTGCTTTTACATCATTGTTGCTCTACATTCCTGAAGACACTAACATTTGTCCAGTGTTTCCATCATCCTAGTGTTCGAAGGTTGCCTAGAAACTGTATTCTTCTCTTTTTTCCACTCTCATAGGTTCAGATACTCTAGCACAGCATTGTGGGACTGTCCAGACAAATAGTTCTGTTGCTCTGCACTGTAACCCTTAAACCTCGTGTGGCTGTGTAGCACTTGAACTGAGGCTACCGCTACTGATTAACTTAATGCTTCATTTTTTTTTGTAAATTGAAGCATCTACATGTAGAAAGCAGCTATGCACTGAAAAGAAAAACATCCCTGCTCCTTGGCCTCCATGTAGATCAACTCGTGAATCATTCAAGTCATACACACTGCCAAGGATGAGACCCAAGAATTCACGTAACGACTATCAGGCTGAGCAGTGGTGCATGTTCAGAAGGACCACTAATACCTAGTCTCTGGAAATGAATACCAGCAGGCTCTGAACTGACCCCAGGGCCTTCCCTGTCTCCTACTACCCCAAGGTCCCTTAGGACAAGCAGCCAGCCCACCATCCTTGCTTCCTCCCTGTTCCCTCCCTCACAGGCACATGCTGGCAGAGGGGCACACATATACACCCTACACCTGCACTTTCCTCACCTTTCTGGACTGCCAGGGAGGTTGCCAAGTGCCTGGAGGCATTCCACACTCACCCCCTGCCTCTGGGTTTTCACATGGACAGCCTACCTTAGCGCATCTCACATTTTGTGTCGCGTCATGCCAGTGTGTGCCACCCTTGGGAAGGGAGCATGCTGCCTGATGGGCTGATCCTGGGCAGCACTGGCCCAGGACCTTCCCGGGTATCCTTCTCAGGTGTGTGGAACAAGTCTCCAGTGCAGCAGGCTCTCTGTGCCTGTTACTCCTTCGGGTCTCTGCCCTCTCTTCAGGTCCTTAGCGTCCTCACCATCCTGGGTCCTACTGTAGCCATGTCCACCATTTCCACAGACTGGCACATTTCCCACAGACTGGCACATTTCCCCACAAACTGAGCAGTCCACAAGCAGTGGTTTCAAATCCCCACCCCATCTGATTTGCTCTGGGTGAATCCTCATACCTTACAACCCCAACACAAGAAAACACAGCGGAAAATATAATCGTGTTTATTTGTTGATTTAATTTTGATCTAAATGCAGATTTGTGCAGCCCTGGTCCAGAGTTATCTCTGGCCATCCATCCCTCATTCCTGTCCTGGACAGGGGCACGGCAAAGATAGGTCAACCATCCACCCCATATCTGGGGACCTTCCATGCCTCCTCTTTAGGTTGTTCCTTGTCTCAGGTCCTTTCACTTTCATCACTGCATCAGCCCTGGGCGACACAAACACAGGCACACAGAGGCACATAAACAAACCAACACAGGTGACACAAACACATGCATGTACACACAAACATGTATGACACAGGGACAGAAAGGCAAAGAGGAAATACAGGTGTTTCAGTAGCTGGAGATGCTACTTAGTGTCAGGGGAAGGATGCTTATACAAAGATGCTTAATTCACCCTGCCGCTAGGAGAATCATCTAGGACTCTTGCGTTGCAACCATACCTGCTTTGAGGGAGACTTCTTCACTTATGTACATACAGAGCCCCCAAGTCCCCAGTCTCAACACAACACCTGCTACATGCATGACCTGAATACAGGGTCCACAGCCAGCTTGCATGAGCCTAAGCATCCCCATTTGGAAAGGACAGTGTCCCAGCCTCTACACAAACATCACTTCAGGGCCCACCTCCAGATTCCCTCACCACCTGTGTTTCTATCATTTACCTCTCATGGCAGAACCTTCTTCCCTGGGGTAGTACTTTAAGGGATCATCCCACATGTCTTCAGCTATGATCTGCTGGCAACATGAGCAAGGTCAGCCCCAGGCTGACCAGGCCCCTAACCCTCCTGTGAGCAGCCAAGAGCTCCAACATCAATTGCCAACTGTGTGTGGGCCGAAACCAAACCCATCTCAGCAATCCTGTTTGATTCTGGGCAGTTGTGGCCTGACAACCAGTTGAGAAAGTTAAGGCTCCTGGTGTCTGGGTCCTGTGGCTGGGTCCTCCCTGTTCAAAGTCCCATAACCAGTGGACTAGAGTGGAACGGCATGCCCTATACCCTGGACAAAGGCAGGGGATACAAGCGCAGATCCCGCAGGTGGAGCATCCACCCGCTTGCACACCCACACTCACCACCCCGGGAGACATGTTAACCAGTGATGTCAAGGTAACACTCCTTAATGAGCACCATGTTCCAGAAGTACAGGTTGTCCCGAAAGGAGAAGATCAGATTGCTGCGGGACCGTGGAAGGCTCCACACCTGCACCTGCCAGCACAGGGAGGAGGGAAAAGGTGCAAGCTCCTAGGGACCTCAGCTTGCCTCCCAGGCGGGCATTAATAGCCTCCATGATACCTCTCCAAAGTCTCACAGCACAGGCCCATGGATAACACTATCCCCCAACTCCTCATCAAGTGCCATACCCACCCGTCCTCAGTCTCCCTAACTGACATTCAAGTCTATCATGTAGCTAAGAAAGTCTTCATCTTGGGTGCTGATTATGATGTATAATAATCTGCTTTAGGTCAAGGAGCCATTCAGGCCACATGCCAGGCCAAGTAGAGCCAGGAGCAACAGCCCTAGTCTGGGCTGGAAGAAGGACACTGGATCAGGCATCTGCAAGGATGCTGGGCACTCCCCCTTCCCCGGCCACCACTGACATCTTCAGGCCCTGCCATACCATCAGACACGCTCATCGTGGCTCTGGCTTACCTGTGGAGATCTGCATCCCACAAGCAGGGGCTGTTTCTGGTCGCTACTGTCCTCCTCCTGACTGGTTTGTTTTGGATAGTGTCAGGTAACTGCTTACATGGTCAGGACTTGCTGTCCTTATGACAAATCATACCTCAAAGAAAGTGGGGTGTGTGTGTGTGTGTGTGTGTGTGTGTGTGTGTGTGTTTGTGTGTGTGTGTGTGAATCCCATGTCTAAGCAATTTCCTGGGATCATCCACATTTACAATAACTCTCTATGATTGCTGCTCTCATGGACTCTCTCTGGTCATTCCTGACTTAGAGGCCTTAGATGCTGCTCCTTCCTCAGATGCAGGCCTGAAGGAGACACCCAGAGTCATGGCTGTGACACTTTCAAGTGTGGCCCTTCCCAGATTCAACTCAGCTATGCCTTTGGAACCTGCCACTGCCCAGAACCACACTTCCCTCAGGGGCTTCCATCGGCCTTCCTGTGTCCTCGCCCCCACCCATCCTCCTGCTTCTGCCCCTCCTCCTCTTCCTCCTGAGAGGCAGACCACTAGGAGCAGCAGGAAGGGTACAGCTTTAGACCAGAAGCCATGGATGACCCTGGATGATGGCAGTCCTCCGAGCCAAGTGACGCTTCCACCCCTGATGGTTCTTGTGCATGGACCGAAGCTGGTCCCCGCGGTTTTTCCCATGCTCAGAGCTCAGTTCCGCCTGCAGGACGGCCAGTGCCTGCAGTGCATCTAGCACCGGCCTCTCACTTGGGTCTCCGGGCCTTTCCTATGCCTACTCCTCCACTGTTTTCTTCTCC